TTTGGTCCGATACTGAAGTTTGAAGAAGTTATGAAAGAGACAGAACATAGAGGGATTACGTTACCGGAGGATATGTTGGAGGCTGCGAAATCCGTCGGGATTCGGAAACTGTTCCTTCTTCGTTACCTCGATTTACAGGTTTGATTCTGGAACATTTGATACAGAACAAAGTAGCTAGGAGAAAAATGGAGAATGAATTTGGTTTTGATTTTGATTGTTCTGTATGATGATGATGAACCTTTGTAGGGTTCTGTTTGGCCGCTTGGGTTTCTGATGAGGACATGCACGATGCTTCGAAATAGAATGCTTGCAGATCCTTCATTTCTATTCAAAGTTGGAACCGAGGTTTGTCAATGATTAAGTTTTCTCATTAGTGTGAATCTCGGACCAGTTATATAGGTTCGTGGAATCAATATAAAGATCTTGTTCTACGGATTTGATGCAGATAGCCATAGACTCCTGCTGTGCAACTTTTGCAGAAGTGCAGAAGAGAGGGGAAGATTTCTGGTCAGAGTTTGAGTTGTATGCGGCTGATCTTCTGGTTGGTCTTGTGGTTGATGTAGCTTTGGTTGGACTTTTGGCTCCATATGCGCGTATCGGGAAGCCATCAGTGGCTTCAACAGGTTTATTTAAGGACCTTAAGCGTGCTTGTGCAGCCCTTCCTAGCAGGTAATTTACAAAAGGGTTAACTCTTCCCACTATTGTCTATTGAGTTGCTGTATGTTCGGGCTGAGATGTACTTATACGGTTTTTTCATTTGTGCTTGTGAAGTGTTTTTGAAGCTGAAAGACCGGGTTGTAAATTCACGGTTAACCAGCGCATTGCAACTTTCTTCTACAAGGTATGGAGAAGGAAAAATGCTTTAATCTTCTTTATGGTCCATACCTTTGGTTTAATCAATCGATGTGGTTCTTCATCCAGGGCCTGTTGTATGGGTCGGTTGGATTCGGCTGTGGTCTTATCGGTCAGGGTATTGCAAATTTGATAATGACGGCAAAACGGTAATCTTTCACCCATCGACTTTATCTTACTACTTCTCTATCTTGAAATTAAACTTCTGAGTTTTCTCGCTGGATTTATATGATGTGATTGAGACACTCAACTGTCTAAAATACGGTTTTTCACTGAAATTTGGGGTTTCTATGTCGATAGGAGTATAAAGAAATCAGAGGAAGACATCCCTGTTCCACCTCTGTTCGAAAGCGCTGCTCTCTGGGGTAAGTCTTACCTCACCATCTCTAACTTTGTATACAAAAAATCCTCTATACAATCATCATCAAAGCTATTTTCCTCTGATGTTAATGAATGAAAACCGAGGTCTTAAACCGCAAATATTGTATCGTCTACTCTGTTTCCGAGTTCTTGCTAGGCTTGTGACACGGTTTCAGTCATCAGTTTCTCAACTGGATTTAGTTTCTTAGAAATAAAGGACCTCAATTGCCATTGATACCAAGAATCGGTTACACGCCGGGTGCGGTATCAGCTGGATTGTTGTTCACTTGTTCCTGTTGTTTTGTAATATTAGATTCCGATTCTGTTGAGACAGTAATTTAATTGCAGAACTCAGAGACAAGCACGAAGATTGCTCTTTGAATTGTTGATTATACATACACTAACACTCTTCTGTCTTGTGTTCTTGAGTAGGTGTGTTCCTCGGTTTATCGTCCAACGCACGTTACCAAATCATCAACGGCCTCGAACGCGTCGTGGAAGGTTCAACCGCGGCCAAACGCGTCCCTGTGGTTGCAATGGCGTTTACGGTCGGAGTCCGGTTTGCTAACAATGTGTACGGCGGTATGCAGTTTGTGGATTGGGCTAAATTGTCTGGCGTTCAGTAGTTAAAGTAGCTCGGTTTTGTTACGAACCGGGAAGCAAACCAAACCAGCCTAGAAGTCTCCGCCTGAAATCCTTATCTGATAGAGAATGATTCTGGTTCATGATCTGGACCGCATTCTTCTAACCGGATTACTCGAACGGAACCGATGTAACATTTTCGATTTTGTTTTTGGAAGTTGAATTTCTCTTCGACTCTCGTAGTTAGTAATTTACCTTCTCTTAATACTAGTTTTCAATAATGGCAACATATTAATATTATTAGCGTTTAAACGAATGCGTTGGGGCAACTGCGTTTTATACTTAACTAGTAATGCTACAAGATTTTTTTTTTATATATTTCTTTTATAAATATCCGAATTTAAGTCATGTTGGTAAGACAACGGTATAACCAGTACAAACCTAGTTTTTTTCCCTTTGATCAATCAAATTCGGGTTATCGCATTAGCATATTTAGAAAAATTTATGTAAAGTGCAACAATAACATTGTTCATAACATTAAATAGAAAATAAAATGTTTCTATTTATTAACAAGTTATCTACGAAATTTTCTGTTAATCTCGTCTACATAAATCTTATCTTCACTTAAATATTTTTTTATCTTTTTTTTTCCGTTAAATATCACAAACTTTTTACTATTAAGCATTTTCTTTCCTTAAAACACAATGGCAAGAGTTTCACAACTCACTCTTATTTTCCGAGACAAATTACAAAATTTCGACGAAAAATCCAACAAAATATCCGATGTTATCAGGAAAAATCAAGCGAATAAACCGTCGAACAGCCACAACGATCAGTTAGCCAGCTGGTTTGCTTCTTGGTCATCTTTCCAAATACCTCTTCACTACCCAAACTTCACAAAGGAAGAGTACCAGGTTATGCCGGAAGAAGAACTCGATCGGCTTTTCAAACTTTATGGCCTGCCTACAAATCTTGGTGACTTGTCTTGTAAAAAGCAATTTGCAGTTGGTGCATTCTTGTGGGAGAAGGAGCCAGATTCTTCTCTAGATAACCATGAATCAGTGGATGATAATTCATCAACAGCTGATTTGGGTGAGAGCTCTATGATGGGATTAATGGCAGTTATGAAACGTATGGTTCACTATATATTTGGTGTCTAGCAAATAATAACTTTGTTTGCTTCTAGAGTTTCGTTTCTGGTTGTTCTATGTGGATATTGATCGTTCTAGTTTAGAAACAACTATGGTTTATTATGTAATGTATTATTATTAGATCTTAGTATGTATGTGACATATGATAAAAACAAAAAAAAATCTTAGTATGTAACGATGATCTATTAGTAACATTTGGTTTTAATTTTAAAAAACTACCAATTAAAACCTATGATAAAAAAAAAAGTTTTTCATTTCTCAAATTTTGTGAGATATGGTACAATATATGGTACATTATCTCATGGAAGCATGGAAATCATGTTAAGATTTGTGACATTTTTCATGTTTCATTTTTAATGATATTAATTGTATTAATCAAAAATGAATTCACCAAACTGAAAACCAAAGTCAAAACTATATCATTTACTTTTTTACGAGTTCTTGTTGGGCATGTATGACCCACGAGATATGTTCATGTGTTTCACCAATCATCTGTTTTTTCTAAAACCGTTTAGTTTTTTCGAGATAAAAAGAAAGGGTATAATTTCTTAGACAACAATGAACCTATATTGCCATTGTGATACCAAGAATCAATTACGCTTTATCAATTACGATGGTTCTTGTGTGATAGTAGTAATATGATAAAAGAGTTACCTAGTTGGATTTAGTATATAAGTAGGGAATGCTTCAAATGTTGAGAGCATCGAATGTTTTCTCGTTTTGCTTGGGAGAGTTTTAGGATTCTCTATAACAAAACTCTTAAGTCACTCATTTTGATTTGGGTATTTTTGAGCTCAATGGTTGTTCTTGTTCTTCATCCTTGAGAGAGAAATAAAATAGTTTACGTTTTCATGGACCGAGCTCTTCTAATTTATTTTCCTTAAATCGTATATGACTCAATATTATCGTCTGCATTTTATACACAACTAACTAGTATAACTTTCCCCATGCATGATCAATCAAATTTGCATATAAAAAATATATAGTTAAAATAGTTTTTAAAAAGAATTGTTATCATATGATCGAATTATGTCAACTAAACGTCATTTTTGGCTTTTTTGACGTTTGCGTGGATCAATATATGGAAAGATATATATGTGCGACTCGTGTACTATATTATGTTACCTTTTTTTCAAAACTTTTTTTCTTGTTAGAAGGAAAAGAGTTGGTAGGTGGATATATTAGAAGACTGATTATTTAAAGCAAATATGAGTGTAAGAAAAGTAACTAATTTTTTTTCTGATATGTTTGCAACAAAGAAAATCAAAAAATTCTTAGGATACATTGATGGCAACATCATCATTTGACAGCTTGGTCACCACTGTAATCCAACTGCTACAACCTCATCTTTTGTTCTCTAGTTTCTGTTTTGTGCCCCCTTAATATAATTATATATACTCCATAACAATAGTAACTAATCTTGTATATATCTAATTCTTAGGGTACTGCTTTGTTTTATCATTACAACAATGAAGGGTGCATTATTTTCTTTTCTAGACCGACAATTTAACTGGCCTACTCGATACGGTCATAAAAATATTGTTTTATTGGGACCAGCAAAACCAACGGCATGACCCGAGCCGAATTAAAAATCTGATTTTCCTTTGCAATTGAAATTGAATGCTTTGACCGCGACCGTAAGCAGTCATTAAATGAAAACAACTGAAAAAAAATATAAAAGAAACAGTAAATACTACAGAAAACGTACAAGGGGAGGCTCTTTTTTTTTTATTATTACAAAATAGTCCATAACTTATAAATCTCCCTCCAATTCGCTCAAAATTACCAGATCAGTATATATCATGACAAATAGTGTTTTCACGTTAAAACTGAAGTTAGATTCTCAAAATATTGTAAAAAGTTATAGCTTAACACAAAGTTAAATTAATCAGATATTTAGTATAGTGTTGGTAGATCCGTTTGTCTTCGGTTTTTTTCTAAAA